TTTTAACTCGCAGGTCATACTTGTGAGGGGTTTGAGATAGGCAACTCCATAACCTTCTGTTTTCCATGGAGCCACTGAACATACCCATTCTCCCAAACTTCACTGCCAAATGTAATTCCCTGTAGCCTGAGACAGACTATGACCATCCTTAGGCAGGACAGCCTTCAAGTTTGGACTTCTAGAGCTCCTGCAGGTCACTTTATGCTTCATGCTACACAAATGAAGAGAGTCTACATCCCAAAGGGGAGACCAGCCCAAGGATGTTCTTTTTCCAAGGATTGTATGGGAAAAGCCTAGAAACGCCTGATGAATGATCTCCTCTTCACTGAGAGACTTTACAAGTGAGTATTACAAATACAAATAGGAAAAAACATCACAGCTAGCTGTGGAGCAGAGGTTAAAACACCCATACCTCGTTCACAATGAAGTCAGGTCCTGCAGGAACCTGTTCCATGGATGTCTGAAAGAAGAAGCAGCTGTGCTAGAAGCGTGTGCATTTATTGCTCTTCCAGAAAAGCCTACACAGGGAATTCTGACTGAGGCTCAGATAGATGGGAACAGAGACCTGGGTGATGGCAGCTCATGCAGGCTGAGTGGATACCCACTTGCTTTGTCAAGCTGTTCCATCTGACCCTCATAGAGACAGTGCTGTCCTTGAGCTGTGCGCCAGACCCTACGCTCAACATGAACTTGTGTGTGCAATTTCCAGGTTACTCAAAAGAGCCTGTGAGCAACATACGATGGACAAGGATAAATGTGCAGCAATGTGTGATAACAACCGCCATTGGACATGTGCTGAAGATGATACACACATTACGGTAGTTTCACACTGTCCTCCAGAGCTCACAGCTTGTCTGTCTTCCTTGTCCTGCCCATGGTTTTATTACTATTACAGACTGGTTTCCTGGTTGTCTTTTTTAGCTGAGGCATCCCTACCAAAAAAGATCAACAGGAAGTGGATTTGAAACGTGAGGCTTTGACAGCTGAAGCAAAGAATTCAAGCTGGATCTTGAGGCCTGGTTGAACAGCACTAAGAATCGGTGTCTTCAAATCAGGTGCTTTATTGGGTCAGCCAAGTTTGATTCCCAGCTGCTGGTGGCACTCTTAGCTGTAGTTTCTGGGGCAGGGGATGACTGCAAATTGAGATGGTATCACACTGTTCTCACAGACAGCTGGTATTGTCCCTGAACTGCAGTTACTGTGCAACTCTAATCAGCAGGGCCAGATGAACGCTGTGATATTGAATTCTGCAGCTCCCTAACGCTCAGTTTGCTCTTCAGTACCTGTTTGGTTTGATTGTCTTCACACCTTTCCAAGCTTCACAAGGAGGGTTTTGATCAGAAACAAGACTGAGTCATGGCCATTCTTGTAAAAGAAACCTCTTTTTAGGTAATCCAGGTCAAAAGTGCGCACTAAGAGTTTGGTATTTTTCCCTTCATTATCCCTTTGTTTAAAAAAGTCTCTCATCCATCCAGAGAGAGGGAAAATATGCTCCAAGACTAAAGAGAACCTCGAGACACTGTGGCAGATGAACAGCAAACATCTGAGTCATCAAAGCCTGGTCACTAGTTAGTGTCCATCAGACCACCCAGTAACAATTTAAACACAAACCCCATGCTTGCACAGTGCAGGATCAGATAGCAGAAGATTTCTGATTCTTAGAAAGAGCAAAGTTTGCCCATCTATTTATTTAAAACAAGCAACCAGATCGGAATGTGTGCATTTTGGGGGAAGAATTTGCATTGTCATTGGAAAGGAGATACAGAAAATGAATCAGTCTATTAATAAGCTATTAAAGCACTGCTCCTTTCTGCTCCTTTGTTATGTGCAAACCCACATCAGAACCTAGTCACTTGGAAGCAGAATACTAGCAACCCCAAAGGCTCTCCAAGGTTGTAGGATGAAACTGTAAGGTGTTTTCTCCCAAAGCCCCTGAACACCCATGGCTCCCAGGGTTTTCTACATTTGGCTCCACAGAGGCAAATGCCAAGTGTCTGTGGAAGCCTGGCTGTGCAGGGCGCTGCCTTGGCAGGGCTTCAGCCCTGAGTTCTGGGCTCAGATTGCACCTGGTCACACAGTGGAAGGGAGAGAACTGTGGTCCTACGCCAGTCTTGAGGGCAAAGCTGAATAATAATGCAAAAAATAGGAGAAAGAAGCAATAAAAGAGAAAATTCTACAGGTTTTGTTGTAGGCAAATCCTGTTCATTATCACTAGTGATGTATGATATTGATTGAATCTTTCAGGGCTTGGAGACAGAAAGAGCACAACGGTTCTGCTGCCTCAGCATCATAATCCTGTTTTTCAGACAGGATAGCAACACGTTATGGATGCAGCACAAAATCTCCCTCAACTGGTCTTGTTTTCTGTCTCACTGCTCCCAAGGGGATGGGATCCAGAGGGACTTCATCCCAGGCTTGACACTTCAGGTGTGCATAAGCATCCTTCTTCCATACCATCTCGAGGATTCAGGATATCTAACCCTAGCATAACGTCCTCCAAATGTCAGGACTCAATGAATGCAGCTCTCATCACCTTTGCATCGCAGTGCTAGAGTCCTAGAGGTGCTGAGTCAGGAACTGTCCCAGCTGAAAGGAGAGCAGAAGGCACATATGCTACCATTCACTGTTGTCATAAAACAGTCATCCACTGCTAGTTAAAGCTGACAGCATCTAAGAGTTATGAGGCCATCTGCAATCAATGTTTGCAATTAGTTCACCAGCTTTCAGTAAAGGGTTTGTTGTTATTAGGATTTTATTTCCCAGGTGGGAGATGGTAGAGAAAATTTAGTTTTCCTATGCTAAATTGGCAACAGAGGAGATTGGGGCAATAGCTTCAATTCTATCAGATTTATCCAATGAAATATTAATAGGCTAAGCCTTCCCCCAACCATCTTTCCTTCCTCATGGTGGTAGATATTATCAGCCACATTTTTCTGATGGGGAATATACTTGTCTGTTGCTGCAAAGCAGAAGTGGAAAACAGAGCTTAGTCTTTCACTATACGCGCCATCTACCACCCTCATCCCTTGACATCAGTGTAGAGGATGAAACCAGCTGAGGGTAAGCGATCATGTTGTATACCATACTGTTATCAGAAGGTGATGTCTTAGAGTGAGACAGATCGGAGTTGCACAACATTTGCAGCTCCCTAAGAAGAACTAAGATGTGTGTCTTGCCCCAGGTACGCTGATACACATCAGTTGTCTGGCTAAGATCTGTTCCTCCACTTCTCACCTACATTTCTTGAAATAAGGTGAAATCCCACATGTCATTAAGGAAGACCTGTGAAAACCTCCCAGAGCAAGTGTGTCTTCAACCAGAGTGTGCTCAAGTGACTGATCAGATTCCTGTTGACCTACGTAGCTTTATGTCAGGCCATGAGAACAGAACCGGAGGTGTTAGCCCTACCTGTGTATAGTGGCTTTCACCTCTACAATATTTCATTCCCCTCCTGTCAGGAAGCTGAAACCATTATAAATTTGGTTTATAGCTGATACAGACAGATAAAATTGTACCAAATTCTCATCTATTACTGTCTCTCTAAAATCTTGCATCTTCCATAAGCTCTGCAATGCCATCATCTGACATGGGAGAGTGGCTGAAGTGCTCCCTGAGCACCACCAATACAGGGAAAAGGAATTTCTGGACCACACTGATCTGCAGGAAAAAGAACAACTTCTTGGTGATACCATGGCACACTTACACAGCTTCACTACGTGTTTACTAATAACCAGGAAAACTGGAGGCTTTTGAAATGACGTGGACTTGCACCTTCATGTATGTTATTCCTGATAAAGGCACCAAAGCCTCATCTCCTTTCTCGACTTTTCTCTGACAGCTGTGTAATATAAATCCTGCCTCCGTTCTGTGTCTATTCCTCATGAACTCAAGCTGGTTTAGTATGTGATTCCTGTGTCTTTCTCACTCTGACATTTGCCCCTACTAACCTGCATCTTTTTTGCCCCTGCATTGGCCAGATAGATAGAACATATACACGATAGTCTAATGACATTTGGCTATTAAAACTTCCACTGGAACAGTGTTTCCTTGTACCCCAGGATAGCTGCCCTACTAACTAAAAGGGTTTTAGACACACCAGGCTGACCCTCAGATGCTCCTGATGACCCAAAGGTGTAGAATCATCAGTATACTCTAGACAACATTGTAAAGAGCATAGAGAGCCAATGTGTTTTACAGAACATGTTGGGCTATAGAGATCCTGCCTGCACAAAGGTTTTCCAATTCCTATTGAAGGGAAGTAGCCATATTTTTGATCTGGTGTTCTTAATAATTATAGATAGTGACACACTAGAGACGAGCATGATTCTGATGCCTGAGGTACTGCTGCTGATCCTGCCTGACCCTGTTTATATTAGTGGGAACAATGTTTTCATCAATGGTTAAAAAGAATGATGGACAAAGAATGATGGAACCAACAGTGGGAGCTACTGTTTCATGACTGACATATTACTCAACTGAGCTGAGGACCTAATAGAGGTGTGTTTGGCATGACACATGGAAGTACTCTAAGTGCAGATGCAACCTCTAGGTTCTGCTACTGCTCAAAAGCAGACCAGATCCCACTCTGAACTTCCACAGCTCTACAAAGCTGTCATGAAGCTCTTGGTCATTGAATTTCTCTATTGAATTTCTCTCTTGCTACCTGTTTGATATGAGCAGCTGCGGAAAGGCCTTGGACTTTTGACTGCAGCATGGAGAACGCTTCTGTTTTGCTCCCATTTCAGCAGGGGCAGGTTCTGAGTCCTTGAGAAACAACCGGTCATTTGCTTTCCTGGTCACCTCTCACTCGGTTTTCTTCATGCTGTTGTTAGAAACAGCACAAAAACTAGTGAAGCAGAAGGGCTTAAAACAGGCTTCCCCTTCTAACGAAACAGTTTTTGATGAGCTAACAACATAAGGAAGTGCAAATCTCAGCTGTGCTGGTCCCATGACATCCCAAACCTTAGGCGTAGCAAGCAGCATTCTTGAATGCATCAAAATCTTGTCTTTTAGCATTTAATGCGAGATGTTACAAACTAATGAAGAGGAGAAATGTATGATGCAGTGTTGCTGTAAACCAAATATACAGATGTAAAATAATTAAGCATAAACTGTTCCATACAAATGCGTGTCAATAAACCCCAGTCTGATAAAGTGATTTATGAATACTTCTCTAGAATTACTAAAAAGAATGATTTCTCGTTTGAGGCTCTGGAAGTCTTGAGTCACATTGTTGTGTTTTGTTTTTTTCCTTAAAAAAATGTCTTAAAACACATGGCTTTACAGCTGCTGCTTGGAAAATATACACCTCCAAAGTCTGACTTTCATTTAAATACAAATGTACAAAATGTAAACTGAGACAATAGAGAAATTTACAAAACTTTCCTTTAAAAATAATAAAGACAAAATTCAGTTCTAGTATGATGCTAGTTAAATACGTGCAAGTAGTCATGTTCATTGAATTTCTATTGCAATGTTCTAAAGAGACAAACTTGATTCACACAGTCTTGAGTGCCACCTCCAAAAACAGACCTGAGTGGAAAATTCTTCTTAAAATGCGAGGCTCCACTGGAAGGAATGGATAGAAAATCTCCTTTTTGGGAGATCCTTTTTCTTTTTCACTCGATGGTGGAGGCCCTCTCATCCATAGAAGCGCCATAGATTATAGTGGAAGGATGCAACATGTTGTTTCATAAAACTGAATTGGAACTAGCTGCTTCCGGTGGAGTTTGAACTTACGTGATTTGAATTTATGTGGTGATTTAAGCTGGCCTTTGAATTTGAAGAACTCTTTGAATTGTTCTGATGCTGTAGAAAGAGGAAGACAATGACAATTAGACTTCCCAAATATGCCATTCTTTCTTTCAGTCTAACACTGTTCTTTTTAGGGTGATAACACGATTGACTGGACTGCAAGATTTTTGTTTGAAGACCTTTGGATGTAAAATATCCTTCACCTTCTTACCCATATTCCCTCTAGGTCTGGAGGACCATGTCAGTTCTTGAGGAGTCCAGCAAAAAAGACTCACTAGAGCTCCAGGAGTCAAATCAATTCACTGCAAAACGTCAGGACCTACTAAATCTGACTAATACAGAGGACACCTGCCAGTGCTCAGCTATGGTTTTAACCCTACAGAAACAGATTGGTCTGGCAATGTTACTTAGATTTGCAAGTGGTGCCTCATGAAAGCTGTACATCACATAGTAACCGGTCTGCTCTCTTCTCTAGTGTCTTGGTTTCCTGCCATGACCAGTGCACTCAAAATATGCCTTTTCTCTTCTTTAAAAACATAAATCTAGGACTTTCACAAAGAACTTATTAAAACCACATAACCATTTCAAAAGGCATTTCAGTATAATACTGAAAAATAGATTGAGGAAGAAGTTTCAACTGCTGGAAACAAAGCTTGGGAACAACACTGGAACTTCTGCTGGGAAAAAAATATCAAGAGGTAGATGGGAAATGTGGGATATGCAGTATAAAGTACCACTTGTGAACTGGGCATCTATGGGATTTTCCATGTCTTAGTCATGGGAGATCTTACCTGTCGTTTAAATATTCTCTGTAGCAATCCTTTCTTGGGTGGCTCTGGGGGGTAGCTTTTGTTTAGGTCTGGTGAAATAGTACCATTTGGTCCAAATACATTCAGTTCTTTGAAACACTCTGTTTCTATCATCTAGTGGGAAACAATAAGAAATGAGGAAATTATACATCTGCATTGAATATATTGCGTTAGGGCCAGGTTGTTCAAAGTCAGGATCAGGAACAGCAGCTTGAGCGATATGTTAGGAGAGTTAACAGCTGAATTCCTGCTCTTGGCTATAAAAGGCAAATAGGATGCATGAAAAGGAGAGGCTGAGTCTGCTCTGCATGTTTGTATATCAGCCTTATTAGAAGCTGCCCCATAAAGCTTTCTGTTCTTTTCTTCAGGCCTGTGAAGTACATTGGGTAAAGACAGGAATACTCACAAATCCCCAGCTATTAGCACCCCTCTGCCTAAGTGGATCTGCTGTTTGATCTAGAGCTGGATTATGAAATCAACTGTTGGCTAGGTTTTGATATCAAACAGAAACAAAGCCCCACATCTGGAAACCCTGCAGCAGTTGAAGGTCCAGAGACAACTGCAGCAGCTGGGATGTGCTGCAGGTACAAGACAGAGGGTGAGATCAGGATTACCAATGGAGGAGACATTAGGACTTCCAGCCAGCCCACAGAAGTTCCTGAGAGCTGTTGTTGAAACACCTCAGTAGAAACCCAGGAGAAGTACGTACAGTAGGATCCTTGCCAACTTACACAATGCAGAGCCAACAGATGCAGTCACCTGAACCTGACATCTGTGGTAAGTTACAGATCTTGAAAGAGGCCATTTGTAACTTATGAAAGCATTAGAGTCTGGCAAGTTATCCAGTAGCAATGTATTAATGGAAATACACAGCTCCTCTTAAACCATCTGGGTTAGGGGTTTTACTGGAGTAATTTTACTATGATACATCCTTACCTCATTTTGCCATGGAATAGACACTGATCCTGTGGAAAACTTGGAATAGAAATCATCATCTGTTTGGTCCAGGTTAACTCCTTTCACTGTGGAGAATTGCTCGATGTCTAACACATCCTTGCAGTATACTGCTCTGGGCTATCTCAGCACAAAGAGAAAACACAGAGAGACAGCAAGAGAAAACATATTTCTGAGTCTGACCATGTGCTTTCATTCACAGATTCAGTCAAGTGAGAATGCCTAACAAGAAGTGACTATCATCTGTGTCCTGCTTCTCTAGACCCGCTCTGCCCGCATGGTTTCCATCAAAGGCTGGCTTCGCTTTAAGCATGTTAAGCTTCCCATATGAAGTCCTTAAAAGCATCAGCAAAGCCAAAGCGGGTTTTAGTCATCCATGTAGCATATGGTTAAGAGGTGAGGGAAAAGGACAGAAAGAGCAAGAAAACAAAAATCAGATCCTTCAGTAGTCTTTTCTAGTAGTAGTACCAGTAGTAGTCTCTAGTAGTCAGCTCCCTCTCTATTGAAGAGTGGCTCCTACAAGAAAGCAGTATGCTTGTGAGTGGCACACTGGAGACAGCTCTGAAAAGGGAACTCAAACAGAAGTGCTCCTTCTGCTCAGATAGCTGTGGAGTTTCCAGCTTAAAAGTTTAGAGGAATGTATACTAATTGCTAAAGAAAACAGAAGAGGTTTGGCCTTTTTCCATTGTTTTCATTAATAGCTCAGCTGCTGGAAGCTGTCCAGCGTCACCTCTATCAACTCCTTCAACTGGGCTGCGTTGCTTCAAACAAATACTCAGATGGCTTTGCCTTTTTGAACTACTTAATTACATGTGATGACAGAGAGTGGACTCTTTGCAGTGACGCTGCTTTTAGCTCCTGTTCCAGCAGTCAGCCGCAGGAAGCAGAAACAGTCATCACCTGTCATAGTGTGGTCATCTGCGTGCCTAGAGAGCTCCCATCAACCACACAGTTATCCTTTGATGCGCAGGAGTCATTGAGGGGTGGCTTGTGGGACTAGCTTGACCTGCTGAACTCAAACACGTATTGGATCCTACTGTCTGTACACGGCACCATGACTGCACAGCCCAGGGGTCCAACCATGCGGTGTTTTATCTAGATCTGAGCAGTGTGACCAAACAAATCAAGCTGATTCCTGATAGAAGTCCTGTTTGCTGGAGACTGCCTCCTTCTGCATTCCTGACGGCTGCAATCCACAACATTTTTGTGGAGACAGAGTAGCCTAGAAGAGGATGGAGAGACGTGGGTTGGATTACAACCCCTGCCTTTGGCTATATAGCTTTGGGTGATTCGGCTGCCTTCAGTAAAGACTTGGAAATCTACGGATGAAGTGCCAAACAAATTAAATTAGGAGCAGCTCTTGAGTTCCCAATAAATAGCCATAAAAATTTATGTGCCTCTGCTTTAGCAAATATGTCTATCATCAGAGGTGCCTCCTGGGCCTTACATGCCACAGTTAAGCTTTTAATACACTCTGGCGGATCCCAAATTCGAGCCCAGAATTTTCTCATTTTCTACATCAGAAAGAAATAGTAGCTTGTCTCCTATTTCTTCCCACTAAAGCAGGTCGTAACACCACGGGCTAATTGGCAGGAATAACTAGGCCGCATAGTAAAATGTAAAGCAAAACCAGAGCAGCTAAAGTAAACTTTTGTAGTGTTCAAACCACTTTGGTTTGGTGGAGTTTGCAGCAACGTGAATGAGAGCTGCCAAGACGATGCTTTCCTTAATACGTTAAAATGGCAGTGTTTACTTAGAACCATATGGGAACTTTAAGGATAGAAGATCCAGCCAGAAAGAGAGCCCCGCAGGAGGAAAATGATCAGATAACTCTGCCCTGGGGTAGAGACCGACACCACAAAACAGTGGAAAAGGTTTTGTCATTGCCAATGCAACAAAGACTTTAGTATGTGCAAGATGGGTGTGAAAACCTGAGTTAAGGACCCAATGTTGGGTTCCGTGCCCCATGAACACTAGCAAGTTCAAAATGCTGTCTCAAGTCCAAGCTAACTCCTCTGCTTGAGGTGACACTTGATACCTGAACCTGGTTCAGACTCTGTAACTAATGCCTGTTTTTATGATGATCCAGTCCATTTCTCAGTTCCATAGAGCTTTGGACTTTGTCATTCTAGCTTCACCTCAGCATATATATCCATCTATCTGTATGCAGACATGTGGCTTTCGTTGACGATTGTTCCAAGCACCACGGGGTCCTTACAATACTACCGTGGATATGGGGATACAAAAGTTCCCAGTTTAAAGTTTGGGAACTGAGGCACAAAGAGATCAAGTGGTGTCTCCAGTGTCACACAGGAAGACCGTGTAAAGTGCGTGGGAAAGAATCAACTCCCAGATTACCAACCCATATGTAAGGCCACCCACCCTGCATACACAAGTCTACAGATCAGCTCTCCTCTTCCTCCCAGGCTCCCCACTCCAACTTCCCAGGGCAGCTATCGATGCAGAGAGTGATGACAGCCCTCAGAGACAGAAGATACTTTAGAAACAAGTCTCTTGAAAGAGGCCATTGGGGGTTCTTCCTATTGTACTCACATCAGGGACAAAGGGAGGATCCAGCATTCCTGCTTCTAACCGCTTGAAATTCATGCTCTTGAAAAAGGGGTGCCTCTTCACTTCTGCCGCGCCTTCCCCTTGACATCCTAGCCGCTGCTTCACATCCTTGGTGAGGAGCTGAAACAAGCCAAGAGGAATGGAGAGGATGTTAGAAAAGCAAGAACTCCACAAGGATATTTTTATGTCCAGTTGGTTTTGAATGTGCCCAGAGGGAAGTACAGAGGGGAATTGTAACTGCTGTTACTTAATGGCCCAAGTGAAATGGTTTATTGAATCATTGAAGAGAGGCAGAACTGCAAATAACTGGTACAAGCCCACCGTCACCTGGACAGGGACATTTCTAAGTGTATCCCTGACTTCAGGCAATGCTGAAAAGTAAAGATTCATAAATCTGTTTCTTTTTTTCCCCATCCACTCAGCACTGACCAGATGACTGCTGAAGGTCCCTTCCAACCCAAACTGTTCTATGCTCTTTGAGGAACCCTGCAAGATGCTCTCTTAGAGGAAGGAAAATACAACTGCGAACTCACCATGATGTGCACAGAGATTTCAACTGCTGGTTAAAGAGATGGATGACATCTGCCTTGATACAACAGAAAACTGAACATGCATTGAAACCAGTCAAGGATGGCTTTGCTGGAGTCTGCACTTGTGGAGAGAGACGCTTACACTGCACATCACGGAGGAAGCAACACCAGCCCTTTTCCATAGGCAGGGTATCCCCCCTGGAGCCGGGCACGCTTCAGGCAGACACCCACAGCCCCACCACCACCGCTGGGCAGGGGCAGGCAGTGGGGCGGGCGAGGGGGCCCGGCGCGGCCCGGCGGAGGGAGCGCGGCTGCAGAGCAGCGCGGGGGCCGCCGGGGGGCAGCAGAGGAAAGGGCAGAGCCACCGGGCAGCGCGGCGGGGCAGGGGCGGTGGCCGGGCGGGGCGGGGCGGTGGCCGGGCACGGCCGGAGGCAGCGAGGCGTTGGCTTCCCCTGGGGATGGAGAGCGGTGGGAGCTGTGTGTGGGCTCTTCCCTGGGGCAGGAGGGGACCGATGCCCGGCGGACGGAAAGGTTCACGCCACACCTCCTCTTCCGTCTGCAGCTTTGTTGCTCCGAACCGGAGCTCAAAAGCAGCGATCTCCCTTCACTGCCTCCCCAGGTGGGCTGTGCAGACCAATGGCACTGAAAGGGTTAGCAAAACTCGCTGGGAATGCCTCCCACGTCCATGGAGGACATGGGGTGGTTTGCGTTATAGAATCATGGAATCAAGTCGGTTGGAAAAGACCTTTAAGATCATCAAGTCCAACCGTTACCCCAGCACTTTCAAGGCCACCACTAAGCCATGTCACTGAGGGCCTTATCTACATGGTTTTGAACTCTTCCAGGGACAATGATTCCACCACTGCCCTGGGCAGCCTGTTCCAATGCTTAACAACCCTTTTGGTGATGAAATTGTTCCTAATATCCAGTCTAAACCTCCCCTGGTGCAGCTTGAGGCTGTTTCCTCGTCTTGTTCCTCTGAGCCTATGGGAGCCCCCCTGGATGAATCCCTGGGGATCTTACCAGGGTCCCTGACAGCCAGGGCAGTGAGCACATGGAGCTGTACCATGCAGCACCTGGCTGGGGCTCAATTAGGAAAGCAGGAGGCAAATAGCTCTGGGAGGGTAGGAGAGGAAAAGAAGTGTTGCAGGAGATAGACAATCAGGTGCAGCGCCGCAGGAGGCTGGGAGCGGGGAGCCAGGCACCTTCCCTGCCAAGGATTGTTTTCAGGCTTTGCAGCTCAGGATGTGCCTCAGTACCCTCTGGTTTTGCTGCTCTCTCAGCCACATCATCTCAATGAGGAGAAACCTTGCAACAACTGCTTGCTGTTAATGTGAGGTTGGTGATTTTTCCTCTGGTGTCTGGCTAAAGCCGAAGCTTTCTTGTCCTTATCACGGGTTTACGGGGTCACAGCTCTTTAGGCTTCTCTGAATGCTCTGCCACCCCCTGGGCATCAGTGGGTTTCTTATCGGGCTTCCACAGCCTTCTCAGTTCTGCATTTTTGTTGCTAGGGGCCTCATTTCCAGCCTGAGACAGCAAACGGCTTTGGCAATCAGCGTGCCCCATGTGTGCATTGATCACTCTCCAGCCAGTCCTGAGTAAGCTGCAGTGGCAGAGGCCAAGCGGCCAGAAGAGGTGATGAAGGGATTTGTGGGACATAAGAGTTTTCTGCTCAGCTCTTTCTGCCTCAGCAGTAGCAGCAGCAATAGCCAGAGAAGACTGTATGGATTGAGGGATGGGGCAAAAGCGAGTGGTTCTGGCTATAACAGCAACTTCCACTTTCCAGATAGCAACATCCCTCTCTTCCTCACAGTTTCTTCTGCTGCGGTCTAGGTGGTGACATCTGCTCTGACTGGTCACCATGACTGGCTGAGACTGAGTTAGGAAACATTTCTATGCCTTTCTATCCTCTGAGCACATAGATTCATGTGATACGGCACCATACTTATCCAGCTGATAGGAAAAGACCTTTCTTGGGCACTTCTCTCAAGCTTACTTTCCCAGAAAAGGGGGATGTTTTGCTTTCAAATCCTTGCATGAGACTTCAAGCTCTCGTGGTGTTGATGCAAGGTTTCTTGTTGTGGGATTTTAGAGGGTTTGGGTTTGTTTTGTTCCTTTTTAATCCCAACAGGCATATGGATTTAGCCTATGTGAAGAAGATTGCTTTGGAATTCCCAGTCAAGATCTGGTTTGCTCTGTTGTGAATGGGCAGAGAAGACAAAAGTTCTTTTGATCTTCTGTTCTCATGTTGGGAAGACTTTCCTGACAGGTGAAAAGAAGAATCTGAAGGCGGAAGAACCACTTTTACTACCCATGTCTCTGACTTGGATAGTAAAAGGCAACACTTTTGGAAGTGATACCCTGAAGCTTTTGGGAACAGTGATGTTGAGGAGCAGGTTGTAGTAGAAAGGGTTAGATCTGGATTTGCCTGTGGATGATAAAGGAGACCTCTGAGTTTCTGCTCTACAAGTCAGCTGTGAAGGGAAGAAGGGGGGTGACTTTACCATCCATCTGTGCAGCCAGCAATTCCCCTGTCTCTGGATTAACTGGGAAGACCAGGGTAATCTGGGAATTTACCCTTGCCAGGCTGTGAATGTTCGAAGTTGGTTGGAGTTTGTGGTCAGGCGACAGGGTAGTTGAGGATAGAAAAAGGCAGTCTGGGGATTCTTGGGCTCCTCCATGATAAACAAGGGAATATTCAGTAACCTCAGCTGCAAGATGGAAGTGTCTGGAGCATGAATGCAGTTGGTCACGGATGGCTGAAAGACACAAAAGGAAGCAGGCCGCTGGGAATAGGCTGGGACTGAAAGATCACAGAAAGGAGATGATTCTCCTGCAAAGCCCTGCTGCTGTGGAGCGGGGCCTGCCTCTTGAGGAGAGTCCCAGTGGAGAAGAAAGTAAGAAGTTAATGGAATTTGTTCAGCTGTAGCTGCAGACAGCCCTAGAGATGGCAATGGGTGAAACCAGACACTTCTGGCTTCTGTTATGGATATCAAGAGATAGCAAGGACTAGAATCCAGAAGAAATAGTTCTTCCTGTCTTCAAGGAATAATGAGTCTTGAACCATTTCCTGCAGCCCCAGCAGCTTTCTGCAATAGTAAACCTGCGTAATAGCCTGAAATATGCATCCCATTTGGGAATCTGCTCAGGAAAGGAAAACTGAGATAACATCAGTATGTTTTGAGTCATCTCTACAGTTTTGTTTAATTCCATTTAAAAGGATGTATTTAATATGAATAAAGAGCAGAACAAAAGCAACTACCTCAGGCTGATGACAAGCCCTCTTGGGACTGCAGTGCGAATGACCCAAACAAATGTAAGACCCCGCCAAAGCCTATGGGAATTCACAGAGCTTCAGATCTGAAGATGGCCCATGGTATCCAACCATGCATGAAGTTGATACCAAGCAGCAGAGCTTTACGTTCTGGTAACAAAGGCTCCAGATGACACTGGAGATGTGTAAATGAGGGCAGGATTCAGTCTACAGAGTTATGGGCAAAGCATGACTAGAATGGGACTTTCAAAGAAAAGTCTTGAGTAGCAGCGGTGAAGTTACATTAAGATCTTCTCTCCTGGTACGAAGAACTCTCTGATGATTTCATGTCACTCATTTGTTCCCCTCTGGGGATTCAAACTCTGCAATGTCTGAGACTTTTTTTCCACGACTTCTTTTTCTTCCTTTACAAACGCAAACAACTGTTGTGAGGATGGCTAAAAACAGCCAACAGTCCCCAAAGTGCTGCTTTATTTATATTCATGTGATCAGTCAGTTCATATTTAGATCATACCATGTAACAACTCCAAGTCCAAAGATGTTAGTCTTAATATTATAGATATAAGGGAAATGTTTTCTAGGGTAAGGGTGCAAAGTTCTGCTCATGAAAGGAGAGAAGGGGAATGGTAAAAGCACTTCCATTGACCCAGATGATCAAATAGTCTACGGGATCACCAGTTAAATGTCAACCTTCAAAAAGAAGTAAACATACTATTTTTAACATATTTTAGAGAACAGAAAAGTTCCATGGTCATCTCTCAATTACCAGACGAGACAAGACAGTGGTGTGGGAACTGAAGATGCCAGAATGGCTGTATATTGCACTGCTTATGCTTATGAAATCACAGCCCAATCTGGCCAACTGAAAAGTCAAAACTCTCAGGCATGGGTGACAATCTTATTGCAAAGGCTTACTACTCAGGGTTATTATTATCATTAGCAGCAACAATAGCAATGATAATCATTTGAAGACCACCTCGATGTGTGCGAGGTACCTCTCAAGACAGATGAAAGGACAGTTATCCTCAGGCAGTGCTGATAAACTTGAAGGTGTTCTAATGTGTGAACAAGTTGGTTTCCAGGGATGAAAGCAGGAGGAGTGGCAGCATGATGAAAGAGTTGCTGGCGGTGAGGAAAACATTGCCTTTAGGGAAAAAAGAATCCATCAGCTTTAGGCTGGCTGAGGAGGCAGTTTGGGGAGGGAATGGAGATCAGAATCACAGAACAGCTGAGGCTGGAAGGTGCCTCTGGAGATGCCTAGTCAAATCTCTCTGTTCAAAGCAGAGTCACCAAGAGCATGTTGCTCAAGGCCGTGTCCAGGTGGGGTTTGGATACCTCCAAGTGTGGAGACTCCACAGCCTCTCTGGACAACTTAGAATCATAGAATAGGGTTGGAAAGGACCTTAGTCCTTCTAGTCCATCTAGTTCCAACTTGTTCCAGTAATTGACTACCCTCACTGTGGAAAAGTGTTTCCTGATGTTCAGAGGGACCCTCACGTGTTTCAGTTGGTGCCCATAGCCTCCTGTCCTGTCACTGGACACCAGACCAAAAGTTTGGCTGTGTCTTCTTTGCACCCTCTTATCAGAGATCACTTTTGTGGAGTAAAATAGGAGATGTAGGAATAAAAGGCATCAGAGAAGACAGTATGTAGGAAACAGACAAACAGGATGCTGAAAGAGTGACAGAAGAACACAGCAGCATGGGCCCATCCAATACTGTTGACTTGAATGCACTTCAAGTCACATCTCTGGATGCAAGGCTGCACTTGTCAGGGGAAAACACACACATACATCAGTGAAGTAGAAGACACAACAATAAACAGGGAGCATTTCCTAGAAAGATTGGATTTTTCACAGAAAAAACACACCATGAGGCAGTTATGTTATATGGGAACTATGGGTTGGGGAGCTTCCCAGAAAGCCAGCTGCCCCTGTTCCTAATTATTTATTATTCATCTCTGTTTCAGTCCAAAATGAGGTCTGATTTATGGGAAATTATTTACAGAATGAAACATAGAAATACGGGATGGATGATGATTAATGGGAGCTACGATATGCGCCTGCAAAAATGCAAAGGGCATAACCATCCAGGCCAGGAAGGTTGACATGGGGTGACACTAAAAGGGTTTTCATATGACTAAAGGAATAAAGACAGTACATTTCCTGGTGGCGATGCTATTAGCTTATAGAGAAAGCTTTGAAGAGGTGGTTAGGCAACATGGTGGAAAACATGCTGTTCCTTACTCCTGCCCTGAAGAGTTCACTATGGGAAAGCCTTTTGTGTTGGATCTTTGTGAAGGCTGAAGTTAGATTTATGTACTGCAACTTTATGCTTCATTTCGCAAATATAATGGGTACATAATGATTACTTTTTTGATTCCTTGTTAAGATGCTGGTACAAAGGAACAAAGTTCTGGTTTTTTTTTTTCAATATAAAGAGCAAAGAGAACTTGAGAAAATGTATTTGATCATGGATTTTAAAGCTATCGTTTGATAAATGACTTCTGGATGGAAAACCACAATAAATAAATATGCCACATGATTGGACAGTGAAGCAGTAACGATCAAGTTGTCAGGAATGATTTACATATAGTTCATGCTTCCCTGAGGCAAGGGACTGAACTAGACAAGTTCCGGAGTTCCCTGACTCCCAGAAACCAGGGCTTTATGGCTTGAAGATGAAAATGACCACTGTAGCATAATGACTTTCAATGTCTACTCCCTTCAGAGTGCTGGGTCATCTCCAGCACTATCCCATCAATGCTACATTTAATTCTCCTGAGCTTTAAGTTGGTTAATTTCAAAGTATACTTTCATTCTATAATGCGTCATGCCTGCAATTAACTACAGAACAAGCAACAGGAGTGTAACTTTTGCCTCACAACATTTTCATTTCATGCTAACAACAGGACACGCACAAACGCTGCCGCTCCATCAGATGCTGTTCCTCACCTGGTGGGAGTTGAGATGCTACTAGCACAGCAATAGCAAGCTGTTTGAGTACATGCAATGGTTTGTAAGAGCCTGTGGCTGTCCTAGATCCTCCCACACTGATTTCAGTGGGGGCTCTGCATCGCCGATTAAGGGCAGTGAATGGCCTAGAGTATCTATCAAGAGTGATGTCAGTTAATTACTACCCTGGGGATTCAGCACTAAGTTGGTGCACTGTGAGTTAATGACTTCCAGGCATGATACTTGGCAATGCTACCATTATTATTTTGCAAGGAGACTTCAGTGTCTTTTTGTGAAGCCAGCCAACCAGCGATGTTGTGGATCCGCAGTTTGCTTGCCTGTTGCACAAGATACTGGTGAAACGCTCACTACCTATTTGTTGACCTTTCTTTCCCTTCATTCTCTCCCTAACAGCATACACAGATATGTCATTGTCTCCAAAGGAGACTTCACTCTTTAGCAAACAACATTAAGAAAAAGGCCACATCCCCTTCCAAATTACAATGCAGCCTTCTGAAGATGGTTGTTGACAAGACACTGATGAATTCAGACACAGCTTTGAGAGTTCTCAGAGGGTTTGAGGATTTCCATTGTCAGACATGGCTATTGTGCTACGAAAATGACTCCCAGCTGAAAGAGTGAGAAAACATTTTAAAGGACAGCTCAACAGTATTAAAAAAGCTGGATATCCTGGCACCCCGGGGGAAAAGCTGTTAGAAAGTTAGTGAGATGGGGTGGGACAACATTTGAGTGTCACAATAATTTCATTGCATAATCTTTGTCCTGCTTACCCCCAGCTCCCACCAAAGACAATGGAAGCGTGGGGTTTTCAGTTCCTTGCAGGAGACAATCAGAGTCTTGCATCATCAAGTCCTTTTTATTTTTTTCTCCAAGATTATAAAAGACAGAAAAGCATTCTTGACTGCAAACTAACATTCAAAGTCTCACGAGAATAGATTCCGCTCCCTTGACCATAAACCTTTGGAGAGGACTCAAGATGACCGTGATGAATCTCATGGAGAAGCAAGGCCAAATAAACACAATTTGAATGAATAGAGAATGCAATCATCTCATCAACAGATGAACTTCGTTAGTCCTTGTCTCTGCAGCCCATCTATGGTACTGTGTTACTGCTCATACCATCAGATACAGCTTGCTAATGAAGCTGCCACACTGGGCCTTCAAGCCCCTTACCATTTTACAGATGGACTTGGCCTCCTCAGAAAACTTATGGGAGTACACCTCTTCTGTCTCCAGCACTCTCCTGTCCACTTCTTCCCTCTTCACCTTCTCTTTTCTTCCACGGAATGGTGATTGCCCAGCAATCATTTCATAAATGAGACAGCCTAGCCCCCAGTAGTCAGGGCTGAGTGTGTATCTCTGGTTGTTCAACACTTCAGGAGCTGTGGAGAAGAAAGATGTCTCCTGTGGAAATGCTTGATATTCACATAGGCAAAAAACCCTTACATTTCTATAAGTTCTTTTCTGGTGACTGAACACACATGCACAAAGAGTGGTTGCTGTTGATGGCATTACAGAAAATGCAGCATGCTACATGCCATGGTTTTTTCTCTACATGCTCCATGCCATGTGCATGCTGTCTTCTGACTTGTCCACTAAGTCAGACCAATTAAAACAACAAGAAAGAAGTTGAAGCAAAGTATTAAGTAGAAGCCTAATCTTAAGAACCCTTTCAGATTTCTCCATTTAGGGAAGAAATGACATGCAAACACGCATCCTGTAAACAACAGTGACATTTCTTCAAAAGCAAGTTCTGTTTTTTTGGTTCATTTACAACTTATTTTTTCCTCATTCAAAAACCAAATCCATTTATTTTGTGTTGCAACCATCCAGTGTGCTTTGGCTCTACAGGCACTGTGTTGCAGGCATCCTCACTTCTGTACGCACAAATACCCATGTGCTCACAAGCACAGAGTCTTAGTGTGTACACAGACTTAAACTGAGATAACAAAAGTTGGAGATGACAACTGATTTGCCTGCTTTCATTCAAGTCTCCACATGCTGCAACAGTGGCTCATATCAGCTAGTTTCCATTTAGTCAAATAAGCATAAACAATTTTTATTCCAAGAAATATGCCCACCCACAGAATGAATGCAAATAATTACGCTGAATATTAGAAACCTGATCTAGTTGAGTGTGATTTTTACCAATGTACACATCTCTAATCTTCCTTCTCACAGCCTCTCCTGCATGTAGGGGAAGACTCAAGATGACCTTGGTCAAGATGACCATAGGTGCAGACTTACCCGTATTATAATAAATGTACATTTAAACCATTATACAAAACAGCAACTAGAAATAAACCTCCATTTTAGCACACAGACCTCCTAAAATAAAACTACAGCACAACCCCTATAATCTCAGTTGCTATTTCCCCTTTTTACTTTCTTTGCTGATTTAAGATTATAGACCCATCTCATTATGAGCTGCTGTGGTCCATCCTTTTGCCCACTTCTGATTTCCACTTGCATGACTCTTGGTGGGTTGCTGTCTAGCAACCCAGACACAGCTGAATGTGAATCTTTTACATGGCAGAAAGATCTCCAAAACTCAAGTAATCTCAGCAAATTATCAAAAAGATGAGCTACTAAAGACTTACCCATATACCCTACTGTTCCTACTCTTCCACGGATTGATTCACCCTCAGGGATTTTAACAGCTAGACCCAAATCAGATATTCTAATATGGCCTGGAAGGAAAAAAGAAACAAAACAACATAAAGTAGACATATGATCCAGATTAGGCCAAAACTACAACTGTTATTATTGCTACAATACCCTTGCAATTAACTTTTCAGACATTTTAAGTAAAGAGTGTTTTCAATTGCTGAATTGGAGCAGTTTCATTGATAAGGACAGGAGGAATTACAATGCAGTGAAATGAATTTTAACAGTGAGGCTACAGACTAGAGTGGATTGTGTTAGGTATTTTAAAACCAACAACAGAAAAAAGGCAATGGGAAGCAGGCTGGAGAGAAGTATCTTGAACTGATCACAGGGGATGGATGGGCTGACATAATTCGGTAGCTCTTTGATGGCTGAAGGGGCTACATCTGGTCTGTAAGTCATCATGAGATTCAATTATCGCTCCCTTCAGAGCAAACGGGTACCTGGGTCTGCACAAACCGAGAGTTGGCTCAGCAGAGGATGAAAGTACTTCTGTAAACGGAGTGGGAAGCACAGATTTAGAAATTACAACTTCCTTTGTGTGGTGTCAGCCTTGCAACAGTAAGGATGGAACAACAATGAAAGAAGGCAGACACCTCCAGCAAAGCTGTGCTCTGAGAACAAACCCTGCTTCCTTCCATCCATGCAGTGAGCTCCAGCACTCCACCCACCCAAGACAGCAGTATTAGCTTGTGCTGAGCCTCTTAGTCACTTCAGAGCATTATTTGTCTTTGTACAGTATATATCCTAAACCCAACCTAATCTACTTTAATATGAAAGCATCTCTGTAAACCTCTGAGACTTACCATAATCATCTAGCAGGATATTTTCTGGCTTCAAATCTCTGAAAATGAAAGAGAGCACTTACTGGTATGAGGCTGGTTTTGATAACGTAACCATCTGACAGTGTGTGAGTGCATTTATTACTGGTAATAAACCAATTGACTGTCAACTCAAACAGCAAGGAACTCATGAAACCAATACAACTTTCTACAACTCACTTCACAGATAGACTAAAACCATATGTTTTTTTCTAAACCAGTTACATTTTTTCACTGAGCCAAACATTTAGTTCCTAATCCACTCTATAATGGACTCATGCATCCAGTCCTGTAAGCCCTGTAAACCAACTCATGCAGTCCTGTGTGTTGTTAAATCTCTGTCACATTTTCTGTTATAAAATCTTTTGTTAAAAACATATTAAAATCTTGTATTTGCATATGAAAACAGAAAGAGCGATATCTTGGGCTCAAATTTTCTATGCCTGGCATCTGACTCAAACCAAATCAGTGAATGTGTGTACATGCACTTTTGCACACATGTAATAATTTTATCGAGTTTGGAAAATGAAGGGCAAAGAAGAGAACGCTGTGCCCACATTAAGATTCTTCTTACAAACTCCAGTGAAACTCCAGTGCCTACATGCTTTGGAACAGCACCATGAAAATTGGCAAGGCGGTCACTCTGATGTCAAACATGTGCCTTGTATCGCTTCTGTGAAAAAATGAATTCCCAAATCTGGCCAAGTTATAAACGTCTGAAAAATGTAAATCTCAGTTTTCATGTATTTAGCAGAGTCTTGGCAGAACCTTCATTCTTCTGAAGGGTTTGTCTGCACCAAACCCACTTCACCAGTTGCTCCTTCTAGATGCTGCCTGGACCAGCCATGCTCAAGTCCCCTCGCTTGACCAAGGTATGTTTTTGTGCCTATGGAGGTGAGCCGGCACTACCACTCCTGGATGCTGCTGGCTGCTGGGAAGATGCAGCCCACCTTCCCCATGCTGCTAAGTAGGGACAAGGCACAGCCTTCTTTTAACACAGAGCAGGAATGAAGCCAGCCTGGGAGATGGGAGCTGGAGGTGCTGGAGGGAAGACAGGGATGTGCTGGGCAGGGAGCATCCGAGAAGGGACGTGTGATGGGAGCAAGCTGTGCTGGCTCAGGAGCCCGAAAAAGGCACCAGCACTGCTGAGTGAGGCAGGCAAAAATGTATTGCTGCAATTCACAACATCATGCCCTGACTTTTATCTGGTCGACTCCTACCGAAACAGCGTTTAGCCTGGTGCAAATCCAAGAAGTGCTTGGCCTCATCTTTTTCTAAGGCCTCCTTGCATTTGTGAACCAGCTTGATTCTGTTAGCGACCCAGCAAGACACATTTCTTTTCAAAGAGCAAAGAGAGGGGACACTACAAGAGAAACCCTCGCACCAGGAGATCCGTGCACCGCACAGAGCCTGTGCAGGAGCACGCCTTGAGGTTCAAGCTGTTCCACTCTGGTGTCAGGAATTTCCCCACGAATGGAGAGGGATGTTTTACAGTTTTCACAATGCTGAGATTGAAATTTCAAAACTTGCCTCAAAGCTTTTATTTATTATTTCAAGCAAGAACATAAAGAATGGGAACAATCTTCTCTTCTTGCTCGCTCCAGACCCTCTTGACCTCTCAAGATAAACTTCACCGAATGCCCACTGGTACCAAGCCTACTTTTCAAATAAACAATACTGAAACATGTGAAGGGCAGCCGAATGCTGTGATTTAGTTTAACATAACTGCTGTGGCTTTCCCTGCCTATCAGAAGGTTTCCAATGCTGGAGCAACACAGTGGAGGGCATTTCCTATTTATTTGTAAGAATTTATTCCAAATCCCTCAAGAACTCTTTCCTTGAAGAACTCAGACTTCATTAGTTACTCCATCTTCTGCTCCAGCAGTTATTAGTCCCACTTCAAGCTGTAACTGTGGCCAATTAAAGCAGGCTTGCCTTCCCCCCCAGACATCAGTTGTCATTTCTGTCTTCAGACTTTTGGTTCCTCAGCATCAAGGATGGCTTCCTTTGCATGGCCAACACTTCCAAATGCCAAGGAGGAATGTGATTCTTGTATGAAATGTGCAAGAGAAATAAAATTCCCTGGCAGACACAGTTACATGTAAGGCTACTTCCCAATGATACAGCTTAGAATCATAGAATCATAGAATCGTTAGGGTTGGAAAGGACCTTAAGATCATCAAGTTCCAACCCCCCTGCCATGGGCAGGGACACCTCACACTAAACCATATCACCCAAGGCCTCATCCAACCTGGTCTTGAACACTGCCAGGGATGGAGCATTCACAACCTCCCTGGGCAACCCATTCCAGTGCCTCACCACCCTCACAGGAAAGAATTTCCTCCTTATATCCAATCTAAACTTCCCCTGTTTTAGTTTTAACCCATCACCCCTTGTCCTGTCACTACAGTCCCTAATGAAGAGTCTCTCCCCAGCATCCCTATAGGCCCCCTAGCATCCCTATAGGCCCCCTAAATAGCTTCCCATATGTAAACTAGTCTAGCCTAAATACACTGAAACACAAACTGCCAGCACTGTGCCCATGCTAGAAAGCTGATAGTACGTTATTTGGCTGTACAGGACAGCATGAACAACTCAATTAATCAAGGTGGACAAGGCTTTACTGTATATTTACTGGACAATGTGGTCTTGATGCTGACTCAAGCTTCCAGGCACAGCTATAGTACATGTGTGTATATATAATTTATATGTAAATATATATATCATGTTATATATAAACATTGTGTATAACATAACAAGATTAATATAATGATATAAAATACATGTATATATTCATCCAATGATATAAAATATATCATATTATATATCATCGTATATAATATATATAATTATATATAATAATAATTTTAAAAGAACCATCAGCTTTCTATGTTTGCATTCCATGAACAATTGACCCATTGACCTTTACCAATGCGATGCAGTTGAGAAATGTCACCAACGCACCTCATTTGGCAAAGGGGGATCTGCATCAGATAAATCTAACTCTGAGCCTGGTTGCTCTCTCGGGTCACATCCGCAGTGTGCGTCACCGGCCCGTGAGATGGGGATGTGTTTTCCGATGCTGTGATTTAGTCAGTATCATTTTGTTCACAGAAAATGAAATTAAGTTGGAGGAAGAAGTGTTTTGCAATGAATTATTCACCTTGAGAAAGTGGTAACATTTAGCTGCTATATTTTATTAACCTATATAGCACTTCTTACTGGTCCCAAAACATGCTGTGGTATTATGAATTAGGGGTCTCAGAATACTGCTGGAAAATGTCACCTACAAGGATATAACACCATTCATCACCAAAACGAATGTGGCATCTGAGGTGTAAACTAGCAACTCTTTCAAGAGTAACATGAAAACAATTGCTTAAGGAAGTAGGATGCCACTTCCCTCAGAGTCACCTTCTATTTTAGGTGGCCAGATCTGATTTGCTTGATTAGAAAGCAGAGTTAGTATGGCATTTCACCAGCCAGGTCATGAATGTACCAGTCATTTTCAACAGTAAAGCAAGCTTGTGATCCAGAACTTCTTAAAGAAATACTATAATGCCTCCTAAAACTTTTCTGAATGTGGTAGGATGGTTTCTAAGGAAGAGGGAAGCCAGACACATCATTCGTTATTTGAGTTTTCAATTGACATTAAACACTTAATTCCATTTTGTTCCTTGGGAAAAAAAATATGTCCTTCTTGGGCCAGCACCAACACAATCAGCATGTTATCTGTCTGCTCTCCTTATGCCAGCTAGCAAGATCTGAGTCACACTGAGGCAACCAAGTACCAGTTTGCTACAGATCTCCTCCAAGGAACAACAATATTGTAATTCCTATGTATACAAGCATATGCATAATGCTTATTACACATGGGCATATCGAATGATTTAAAGTGCGGCTTGGTTCTTGAAAATAACATATCATTGTTAATCATTGTCCTTGGAAGTTCTTTCATCAATCTACAGGACCTCTTCTGCTGTGAATGCCAGCAGTAATGATTTCACAAGCTGGGATGATGAAGGCAAACATTCAGTGTTGTTTACAACTCCACTGGTCTTTGATTAGGAAAAAATAAATCCTCATAGAGTCACAAGAACTCTGTCTGCAACCACCCTGCTTTTCCAGCAAGTAAACCATGTGATGCCCTGGAAAAAGGCTTGTATAGAGCTGGAAGCCAGACTGGAAGCTGAGAAGTTGACATTTGTCCTTCTCGAAGCTGTCACCGCTCCGGGCAGTGCTCTGCCCGCTGGCTGCTCCCGCAGCGGGTGGGATGCTGCCAGCAGGACATCTCCATTGAATGGCTGTAAGTGTGCCTCCTTCCACAGCTGGCATGTCATGGTCACCATCATGATCCAGCTAATCAAGCTTGTTCATGTCCTAGAGCGTGAATCCCTGCCCTGTGTCTCAAACCCCCTCTTGTGCTAATTGTGCTCCCTCTGGGGTAGGACATGGCTTTTCCACATCTGATGTACAATAAAATCCAGCTAATTAAAATAGAAGCTTGAATAGCATGATCTCCATTTCATGTCAACTACAAACTAGAAACCTCAATGAAATCCCTTTATAGGAACGCTCATGATTTTCTTAACGTCATTCAGTGCACACCGAGGTAGGGTTTGGGGAGCTTTGTGTTAGCTCTGCAATTTAGACAGGATGCATTATTGAAGCAACTGCTTCCTTCCATGATTACTGAATCATACTGAATTTGTACCCTGTGAAATTTCGCCCCAGCACTGAGGCGTCTAAGCTTTATAGCACCACAATGAGTAGGGAAGATGCAAGCAGTTCTTTTTTACCCATAAAAGATATTCCATAAGACTTTAAAGAGTGCTTACCTGTACACAGTATTTTCTCTGTGTAGGTCTTCTAAGCCACAAAGAATCTCTGCTGCATAAAACAAAGCTCTTTCCTCCTCAAAGCCTGGGTTTCCCATGTTGTAGATATGAAACTTCAGGTCACCTCCATTCATTATGGTCAGAACTAAACACAATGCATCCTTTGTTTCATAGGCATAGGCTAAATTGACCTAGAAAAACATTTGTATCATAGTTGTGACAGTTCATTTAGCTGCTGAGAAGAAAGCACTAACTTCTCATTAAAGATATCCTCCAGGAAAGGAAAAAAAAAAAAGAAACTGAATTTGAACTGGGGCTTACAGCAATAGCAAACATACATTTTGGAAGGACAGAAAAATCAGATGTTGGGATTTTATAGATTAATTCATTGAATCCAGCCTATTCATCATCAGAAACCCCCATGGCTAATGCTCAGATAGCTTCACAAGCTGGACAAACATACTAATTCCAGGCATACTTTTCCATGTAAGAGAGATATTAAAAACCAAGGGGATCTACACCTCCTGCTGCACTGTTTCGCTGGGTAGCTGTCCAAAAACTATCATCTCAGTAGGTTCCCAGGAAGGCCCGGATAGCCTGGTCCTGTGGTGGTCAAATGGACCATCACTGAGGCACTCCTGCTATGGTAGGTGCCCCAGGAACGACTAGACAAGCCAAAAGCTACCCATCATGGTTAAGTACGTGCCATCATCTTTGCTTCTGCCAGAGGTAAATAAACATCTCACATCTGTTGTTTTCACAGTGTTTCCTAAAATAAGCATAAAGAACACGACAGATGCTGAGAGAACAACACCTCTTTTTAATCTAAGGCAAGTTTTTAAAGAGACACAACAGCTGGCATGAGTCAGGAAAGCCCTACATCAGACAGACCAGCTCCACGTCACTGGTTACTAGCCAATCTCTTCTCATCTGTTTGGTTTGCATATCCTTCAGTCTCCTCCAAGCTCCTCTCTCACAGACGCTGGGAATTCAGGTAATCACACTGGATAAAAATAGCTCAGCTGATGCAGCCCTGATGCAAGTCAAGGCTACGAAATGCATCATTCCCATGGCAGGAACAGGCACCTTGGTTGGTGCGTTTCGTACGGACCAGAGACTAAAATGAGACTTGGCACAGGTGCATGGAGGAGGACGAAGGTGCAAAGCAAAGGGAATCAGCTTCCTGTTGGAGGAGTTGGAGGAGGCCTTGGGTTCAACAAGAGCAGTGCTCAGCAGGTGAGCAGGGAGCTGAGCACCGGGGAGTTCAATACTCACTACAAACTGACTATTGACTTTTTCCAAAATCTGCTTTTCATTTAGTGCCATGGATTCGCCTTTCCTCTTCTTTATTCTCTTCTTCTCTAACCTCTTGCAGGCGTACATCTTCCCTGTCGCTCGCACTTGGCAAGCGCAGACCTGCGAATTAAAGAGAACAATTGCTGGGTAATTCGAAGCAAACGCTGCATCTGGGTTGCACTTTACTCCTCATGAGCTGATCCCAGCGAGTCCTTTTAAGGTTAGAGACAGCGGCACAGCAAATAAGGCACAGGCGGGGGCAGCTGGGGAACCAACTACTGTTTCCAAACCTGCTGTGCAATATTGGTTTCATTATTCCACTTTCCTCCGCCTGCTTCCTATCCCACCTCCTTTTGTCTGTGCAGACTGTAATCTGCTCAGCTAAAGTCTGTCCACCCCTCCTCTGACTCTTGCTGCCCCGCCATCAGTTAGAACACAAATAAGGGTGTGCCCCTCATTCCACTGTTAGTCGAATAGGGAATAATTCCCAAAAGCGTCCTTTTGGGATGACAGTGTCATAGAATCATGGAATAGTTTGGGCTGGAAAGGACCTTAAGATCACCCAGTTCCAATCCCTGCCATGGGCAGGGACACCTCACACTAAACCATGTCACCCGAGGCTCTGTCCAACCTGGCCTTGAACATTACCAGGGATGGGGCATTCACAACTTCCCTGGGCAACCCATTCCAGTGCCTCACCACCCTCACAGTAAAGAACTTCTTCCTTATATCCAATCTAAACTTCCCCTGTTTCAGTCTGAACCCACTGCCTCTTGTCATGAGAGGTTAAGTAAAGCTGTTGGCACTCAATGAAAATCAGCCTCTGTCGCATCAGGCTGCTATGGCCTGCAGTGCCTGAGAAGTAAGAAACACTCTTTAGGAGAAGCTTTCAGACCTACTCACCTCCCCAAAGCCACCTTTCCCCAGCACCCTGTACTGCCGGAATGTGTTTTTTGTTACTGGTTGCCTGGAAGGAAAGGAAATACAGAAAAAAAAGAAGACAACACATTTAATGCACTCTCCGTGATTTATTTCAGAGCATACTTTGAAAAAGCAAAAGACATAAATATTAGATAATCATATTGTTTCAGGGTAATCCTATTATAGAATATAATATATAATTATGTAATTCCATTAGTTCAATGCTATGTATGGCTTGAACTTTTCAATTCGAACATATTAAGCTGTAATAAAATACAACACATTAGTGAGTCATCAGTATAATTTCTGCAAGCATTTTAGGACTAAGGAGGGTTCTGTATCTCCATGATATAGGTTTGGCCTTTGTTAAGCAAAGCGGAGACCTGGGAGCTTCCAATAACATATTAATTCTTATGAGGCATAGGACGGGCTAACACTTTATGACTTTGCTTGGTCTTCAAGGTCATAGAACCTTAGAATGGTTTGGGTTTGAAGGGACCTTAAAGCTCATCCAGTTCCAACCCCCTGCCATGGGCAGGGGCACCTTCTGCTAGAGCAGGTTGCTCCAAGCCCCATCTGACCTGGCCTTGAACACTTCTAGGGATGGAGAAAAAGAGATCCAGAATTCAATCCACCAGAAAAGATTTCTGATGTCTTGACCTTAAAGAAAACAGGAAAATTATGTGAAACAAGGAAAGCAACAATCCCAGGCACCAGAGAGGTGGGCTTAGGTGCCATTCGCAGGAGGGGAGAGCAGGAAGCCAAGCTCCAAGCCAGTCCTTCCCTGCCTGGGATACCTGCCTCCTGGTAGAGCACCATGGGTGAGAAGGGAGGAAAAGCATCTCTTTCCTTTAAAGGGACAAAATAAGGGTTAAATAAGTCTTTTCTTCTGAGGGCAGAGGGCTCCCTAACATTCATTGGACATGAACTATACAACCTAACAAGGTTCCCACAAAATCCTGCCTTACCAAAATGGCTCCAGCCCTACACTAACTTACCCTTTGTTACCATAAAAGCTTTATAATGTGACAGAAGAAGAACCCCACCATTCCACCACTGAAGCCTTACAATTACGTTAGTGGTTGATACGGATATCCCTACCAGCTCTGGTTCCCTCTGGCGGGCAGCCAGCCGGCAGAGGGAGCACAATAATGTGGCTGTTCCCATAACAGCGGTGATGAGTTTGATGACAATGAGGAATAAATGCTAAAGTGAATCGTTTCATTTATGCTCATTATTGTTTTTAAAAGTAGGGGAAGAAAAACACGCAGAAGGCCAAAACTAGAAGAGAGAGAGATGCTATTTTCAGGCTTCTGTGAGGATCCTGCAAATGCTGTTGGGGTTAAAAGCAACAATTAGCAGTGATAACTACATGCTCAGCAATGTCTCTGGAATAAATGGACTGTATGACTCCTCCATTGGAGCCAGCAGGCTGTCAGAAGGAGCTACTAACAGCTCTTTGCTAATCCTAGAAACAGTTCTCCCAGCTTCTTAAGCCAGGCATATCCGATAGCTTGTCACACTTGTTGGGGGAATGGAAAAAGTAATAATCCTCAAAGCATTTCAGAAAATTCCTTATCCCAAATGTGAAAGTAGATAGGAAATAGCCTGGCTAGGGATGAATCATCTGATGTTTTTGTAATTGAAATGGGAGAGTGAATGCTGGATTCAGTAAAGATGGCATGTGGAGCACGTCTTGGCATGAAACGGCTCTCCCCTCTGCCCACCGCTTCCCTTTCCCTCTTGTGCAGCAGCTTTGCAGCTTTCCAGGGAGAGGAACTGGCACAGCTCCTTTGATCTCCGAGGCACCACGCTGATACACACCACTCACGGATCTGGCCCTAACTCATCTGCCATAATTAATTCCATTTGTGGAACCTGGGGCTTCTCTCAACCCAAGGTCACTGCTACCCAGCAGTGCATGTCTGCTACAGCCCTCCCAACAAGGAGCAGGCAAAGGCCCCTTTCCTTGCAAATTAACACCCACTAAGGCTGCCTGGTTATTAAATGTGCTCAGAAATGTCTAGCCAATAAATACGGTGTGAGGACCTATATGATGCATTTTTGTCTGTTTACAGTGATTTAATAATAATGATAAGTAGTCCAAGCAAATAAGTCACCATATTCAGAGCACAGCTAAACAGAAAGCCAACTGAAGTTGCTGAATGTACTTTAATCTTGCTGTGCCTAATGTAGCTGATAGCATTAAAATGGGCAAACACTTGAGCTTTAGAAGCCAAAACTGCCCCCCTTGAGTTTTGGGGTAGGTTTCTGGCTTGTTCTTTGCTTCCCTAGTGAGCAGCATCTGTTTCAGTCTTGCCTGGGCACAGTGTTTGCAAATGCAAAAGCCAGAGACTGGATGTGTATCTTAAGTTTAGCATTACAGATGCACAAGGGATAGGTTATAAAAAATGTGTAATGTGTCCTTCAATCTGCGCCATAAGTAGCTCATGGTGACAGGACCTACAGAGAAATTGGCCACAGCCATTTCTCAGATCACAGGCTTCCTTAAAGAGAGAAGGGAGAGGCTGAAGAGCATTTCTGGGTCTAGGCACACTCATATCCCTGGCACCGATCATGCTCATTGGATGGTCACAGCTGGAGACTCAGCTCACGGTTAAATTGAGTCTAACACCAACATAACCATGACTTTCTTACATGACATCTTCCTGTGGCTAAAGCCATTATCTCTTCTTGAACCTTCTAACAATGAACACTTAAAACCAAATGCTAAAATTAGGAAAGCCTTCCTGGAACTCTCTGGGAAAGCTTCCCTGGAGTATAGCTCAGGAAAATGGTGAATGAGTCTTGACAGACCATCCTGAAGGATAACAGTGAAAAGAGGGAGAGAATTGCTTCAAAAGAGGGCCATAAATGGCAAACATTAGGATGAGGCATAGGCAACGCTGAAGAAAGGCCAAACTGTCTTTACCTTGAAGGCAAAGGGAGCAAACATACTATCTCAGCTGTCAGATTTTGAGCATGTTCTATGTGCTTTGCATGGAAAGTGAAAACAAACCTTTTGTATTCATTTTTTATAGGACAAAAAAAAAAAACCCAAACAACTTGTGACACCTACCTTTCCAACCACTTCCACTGGAGAAACCTGTCGAAGTACATGCTGTTCAGGTACTCTTGGAATGGTTCCCCACTGAGGTGGTCAAGGACAGATCTATCTCAGATGAAAAGGATATATAAGCATTTTATAATCCTGAACTTGGAGCAAAAGAGAAACAAAACAAGAGGAGAAAATCCAGACTTCTTGTATGGTGTGATCATTCTCTTTTATTTTGTACTTTATTTTACCCATGGTTTCAATCTAGGAACAAAGTGATATGTTAGACGTATTTCAGAACAGAAGGTCTTATACAAGCTGAATAGTAATATGCACTGGTTATGCTTGCTGAAAATTAACAGGGCATCTCCCACTGGCTTCAATGGACGTTCACAAAGACTGTTACTCACTAGACAACAAATTTATTTGCTTTTGTTAGTAACTGAACACAACACCCTCAGGAACTGAGCTCCTAAACTTTAGGGGATGTTTGTATCTGGATCGAAGATTTCTGTCTAAAGCCCATTTCTGTCAAAGAACGACCATAGAGGTATTATTTTGAGCAAAAAAATAATCAATGTCAATTCCTTCTATACAGTAACTGTCATTAAAATCAAGGGGCTTTGCCTAACAGCTGTGTGCTTTGTAGAGTAAAACAGAGGAAAGTCTGAACAGGGATGTGGATTTGCTTCTGGATCAAGAAAAGAATTCTTGGGCTCATGTAGTAGATGCAAAGTCTTTTGCATAATCAAAAGAAGGAAGGAATAGAAAGATCAGCCTGCAAATGCGAGAAAGAAGTATGTTGCTTGTGACAGTCAACAAGCAGCCAGAGACCAACAGACATCCCATAAGAAAGGCCAAGGGTTCAGAGCTAAGAAAAGATGGGTTGAGCTGAGAGAGCTGCCTGAGATGAAGGTGGTCACATCGATTAAGAAGGGGTTGTTCACCTGCTGGTTTGGGTTCTTGCCTTGCTTACTGGGGCTACTGCTTCCACCTCTGCTGGCAGCATTGGTGGGGACTAAACTTGGCTCTGGGTGTATGTCTGTCTTTGGGTATACAGACACTTTTCTCTCTGTATCTAAGGCTATACACACACAGCTCCAGATTTTACTGGAGGAGGTTTGAAATCCTCTCTGAAGGACCAGTCTGGTTTGGGAATGGGTGATCTATGTCTTACCCTGGGGTAGTTCTAGACCTCCTCAAACAATTTGCCATGAATAAGATAAACATGGGAAATTGGAGAGGGGCAGGAGCAGGCAGCCAAAATATTAAAGGTCAAAGCAGAAATTAGAGCTTATACATGCATACCTCCAGCAGACTGATCTTATCTATGAAGATGTGTCTGAAACTCTTCCCCATTCCTGCTCCTACAGGATAGCAAGCTTCATATTTGTATGTATGCCTCCCTTTCTTGGTCTGTGAACTCTTCCAAAATTAACATTATTCAGTGCATTTAGTAAATACCAACAGCAAGTTTTTAAAGCTTCCTTTTGACCCCGTTTCAGTCCATGTGAAATGCCCAGCATATTTATTAACAAGGTCTCAAACCTGGCTCATTTATCTGCTTGAGCTGAGAGGAAGGAATGGCTGTTGGTGAATACGAGCCTGAATTAAGTGGTGTCCAATGCTAGCCTATTCCATTCAGTTAATTAAAAGCTGTGCGCATTTCACAGAACAATAGCTGCCTTTCAGCAGTTGTTTGCTTTTTAGTTCCCCTCTTTGGCAACAACAAAGTGCATTTTAGAGGGAACTGTCAGCTTTCAAACCGATTTGAGAACTGGAAACAGGCATCAGGGGGGTTTGTGTTGAGCACAGCTCTGCCTTTGTCATTGGGACTGGCACACACAACTGGTGCGAGTTACAGGAGCATCTCTACACGACACCAGGCCAAGGCAAGGAAACTGGCTGTGTTAGAAGAGAAGGCCAGAAATAACCCACATCTACCAACGCAAAGCATAACTGGAACCCGAAAAGGTCAATGAAATGAGTCAAAACAATGAATGACAGTGGAGCGAATTTTACAAATCCCCATTACATCATCCAGGGAAAACAAACGGTGCTCAGCCAGAAACCACACGGGCCAGCGTGCGATGATCCCTCCTTTTCATATTTTCACTCGTTTATGATCTACTGGCGTGAACAGCCTCGGGTCAGTGTTCGCAAATGCAAAGTGCATACCTGGAGCTTTAGCGCATAACAGCGCAAATCGCCTCGCCGCTACAAAACCTGATAAGCCTTTTCCCAGACAAAGGATGAAATAATGCACGCTCGTTTTGAACGCCACAGGCAGACAGAAAGCATTCAAAAAAGCCCCATTCTCCTGGTGAAGATTTGCTGGAAAAGCCATGCGGAGCAAGTTTGCACATTCCTCTGTCTAAATGGGCTGTATAGCCACTTAATTTTTATTCACTTTGAAACAGAGATGTTTTCTTTGGATGCATTATCATTGTAGCTCTTTTCACACAGCATGAAATCCACGGCTGGTTTATTTGGCTAGAACACTCCGTCAAATACCTGAAACACTAAGTGCCTGTGTGTAGTGTATATAATGGCATGGAAATATTTATTGCATTTTGCTCAGATGAAATGACTTCACCGCTTGTCAGCTCTGCCTCTAGGATTATGAACATAAGATGAAGATACTTGCTTCAGGTTCAAGTGGAAATGTCTCTCTTTTACCTGACACATTCCTTACACACTGCTGGCTGCGGCTCTGAGATCTCTGGGTATCGAGTTATACTTACTTTGTACAGTGAGAGAATAGCTCTTTGCAGGGGCTGTTTTCGAGTTTCTCCTCTGTCTGTTGGATAAGATCTTGACTGACTTCAGGAACGCAGGCTGGAGACTGGGGGGGGAGAAGAGAGGGGTGCGTTATCTCTGTGATGAGGTGCAGATTCTCCTCTCTTAACATGTAAAAGACACATTCATTATTTATGCCCTGAACTGCTTCCATTCAATTCCAGCGGTTGTGTAAAAGCAAAGGAGCTTTACGTCAAACAGCAGTAAAATCGGATACCGTGGTAACTCGCTCTACATTCCACTCTATCCTCACATCGCTTTTCTGCCTTCTCCTGTACCTTCACCTCCTTGCCCAGCCTCATGAATATGCAGGGCACACTCCTTGCCAATTCTTTGAACTGCTCCCTTGCATCCCATGAAAAATGTGCTGGCCTGAGCTTTGCACAGGCCATTCTTAAACAAGAGATTTTGCCCAGTGTTTTCTCTTCACTGATGATTCATTGTGCTGTCTGAAAAAATCCATCTTTTTTTTTTAACCAGCAAAGGAAAACAAGAGCAGGGCATTGGTACTGATGGATTGCTATATAAATAATACAGGAAGATGCCCACAAAACTGTCTGGACACCTTAATTCATTATTAGAAGGACAAAAAATGATCCAGAAGTTTTAAAGTAATCATTTCAAAAAGGAACTCTGCCAACCAGGCACATAAACCCTTTTCATCCTCTCTTCCCTTTAGAGAGAATGGACATTCAGCCTCCTCAAAAAGCCCTTACCAAAGAGAGTTCTTTTGCAGCACGCCTTGATGGTTAACTTGTTTAGGGCCTTTGGGACTAATTACCTATCAAGACAGTTTTTAGGCAGTCCACATTCTTATTCATTGACAGTATACTCTGCTTATATAAAAAAGTGTATATGTGTGTGTGTACTTATTTATAGGCATTTCTCCTATTGACATGAAAGCCCCTTTACATAACCAATTGGTTTGGGGTATTTTAACAAATCCAGCCTTAGCTGACAAAATCCTCTTTCCTTGCAGAAGCCTTACACTCGGTAAGGTTCTCCATCCATGGCCATGACCACCAGATGTGCTGAGGGGGTGGGTGACAGAGCGTCATCCTGGCCAGATGTTCTTATTAACTCATCCTTAGCTGGGGATATCTTGGCAAACATTAAAATGCACTGCAGGCAGAGTTCAAGAACACTGGGAATGAGGAGAGAGAAAGGGGCAGAGGCAGAGGCAGAGCCAGAGAAAATCTCCAGCATAGTGAAAGCTGAATTAAGTCTTCTATTGTTTCCTTGAAATGTGAATGTGATCCTGATTGTGACATGGAAAAGTAAGTTTGTTCCATGGCTTACAGAACTGTCTGTGCATGCTGTGTAGTGCAGCCTCACTGTTCAACCTCCACAGACGATTTGCAGAACATGTGGGTACCTTTGGCCTTGCTGAAATATATTGTCGCTTCCTCCATATATTCCTCTATTTCCTCAGCAAAAGACAGCAAGACATCCACTTTTAATTGCAGACAGAATATATTGCTAATAAATAAGAAGTTTCAGTTTCTTTAGAGGTAGATAAGCTCAGACATTATCATAGAATCACAGAATCATCATGGTTTGTGTTGGAAGGCGCCTTAAAGACCATTCAGTTCCAATCCCCTGCCACGGGCAGGGACACGTTCTACTAGAGCAGCTTGCTCCATGCCCCATCCAACCTGGCCTTGAACACTGCCAAGGATGGGGCAGCCACAGCTTCTTTGGCAATGTGTGTCAGTGCATCAGCACCCTCACAGGGAAGAACTTTCTTGCACCTAATCTAAATCTCCCCTCTGGAAGGTTAAAGCCATTCCCCTTGTCCTATCCCTGTGCACCCTCCTCTCGAAGATGAAGAGACTGAGCTTGTTTGGCCACTGGGGTGGACATGAACTGGGAACTGTAGAACAAGTCCCAGTAATTTAGACAACTTACAGAAATTCCTAACTGCAGATGCCCATTACTAAGTCTCAGTTTTAGTTCCAGACAGTAAGTAGAGGCAAGAGCGAAGCAGTGAAATAACTAGGGAAAAAAATCCTGTTTACAGTGCTATAGCTGCTGCATGGAAATAACTGGGGAAAAAAGAAGAAACAGATAAAAAAAAGGCTTTTAAAGGACTATTCAGATTGGAACTAAAGCCTAATGATTAGCGATATGTCAATTGATTTAGGCTGGGAACCATCTGAATTAATACCTGTACTTTCTAGTGGGTTGTGTGGACAAGCTCATTGGCAGCCCAAAGCTTGTATGTGGCTGTGTGAGTCCACTGCTCGGAGCCCTTGTCATCTTCAACATCTGACACAGGGTACAGAAACACCACTGAACTCCAGAGTCTTTGTACTGCTGTGAATCAGGAGTGTCTTCTGATGTGAATAGAGTTGCATGAGTAGAATTAATACTCTAATTGATGTTATGACTAATTAAATCTAGAACTTGTTCTACATTTATAGGCCAGAATTTGGATCCAAAAGCTAAGTTCTAAACCCCATAATTAGTCATTTATACCAAGTGACCTGATTCTTAGTCATGCCAGGCAACTTCATTTCTCACTGGGAATTCATTTCCCGATGGGAGATAAGTTGCTTTATGTGTTGAAGATCATGCTCAGGCTGCATTATTGGTAATAATTCCATCAAATGTTGTCTGAGATCAAAGTACATTTAAAAAAAAAACAACTTATAAGCATAAGCTAACTTTTTTCCTAAAGAAGAAAACAAATTCTTTAAGGGAAAAGGGAGAAGAATGAGTAAAAGAAATGGTAAAACGATATGGGAAGTATTTAAAAATGGCACGAACTGTGATTCCTTTCTCCCAGTTCATGGGAGATACAGTCACCACTTGGTTTTTCCAAACCACTCACAGCTGACCTTTGAATCTCTGCTTCCTTTGAACAAACCGAGAGCAAGCTAACAATATCAAGGTAGGTAAAAACATAAATACACTGAGCTCCTCTACATGGACTAGGGCCTTTAGTCCCTTACACGGAATAAAGTGCAAACGCTTTATTAGAGCACTTCATTTTCTATAACAAAACCCCACTTTTTCCACAGGCTCATCATTTCCAAAGGTTTTGTAGGCCCTGCAAAACATTTGGTGCCTTTACGCAGCCCTTTATGGTGTTCAGGGCCGAGCAGTTGCACCATATGTAATGGAAGAGCATGCCCAACACTTTCCAGCTCTGTGTGCAGTACTAGGAAGCATTTGTATGATCCTTCCCGAGATTTTCCTTGAGACTTCATAGTTCCCACTGCTCCCAGTAAATAACCATGACTGCCATTTTCCCTGCCTCACTCCTGTGCATACCTGTAGCCTTCAAACAAAGCCAGGAACAATTAGAAGCCAAAACCCAACCTCGCCAACCTACTTTTGCTCCCCTGGAGAACAATTAGGTAGCACAAGTTATGAGTGAAAGAGAGCATTTGGATCCCAAGAGGGAAAGCTTCCAAAGGTAACGCTTTGGCCAGTTACAGAAGAGAAAGTTGCCTCTTCCCTGGAGAGATGCAAAAGATTTCTGCAGCCCTGAAGCAATGGTTATTAACACTGTTCTCCTGCTGCATGATGGGTAATGGCTGTAAAAGCAAATTCAGCTTTTACAGGGGAACAGAGACACCTTTTCCAACATATTAAATGTCCTGTGGCAGCAGGAGAGCCATACTCCATGGTTAAGACCATTACATCTGAGCGCGTGACAAAGAATATTCTGCTAACTCTTCAGAAACACCTGCAGAAGCCTGTTATGTTTCTTGTATACTTAAATAAGTACAGTCCTCTGTTTCCCTTAATGGCTATTCTGTTTCCTGAAGACAAAGAAAGTGATTCTTGAGCTCACTTACAATAATGTAAACCGGAAACGATGCCAGGCAAGTCAACAGGATAACACTAAGGTAAAGCTGATGGAACCGAAACCAGATTTGTGTCCCAAGATTCTGGCAGTGAAAGAAGTGCTTAAATTGATCCAACACAAAAATTTATCTCCTCGCATTATCCTTTTCAACCAGACAGTCCAAAAGTCTAAATTACTTTCACGAGGTTTTAATCAAAATCTCCTGTTTCCTATATCTTATTTATGGCCAGAAACTGAAAACCTTCATATAAATATTCTGCTGGCAAAGCAAGATCTCAGTTTTATGATGCCCTCTTGCTTAATATTTACGAAAAGAATGCAACTAGGACTTGGATTAGTGATCATCTGAGAAACAAGAAATGGATATTCAGTTACTTTTGAGTGCCACTGACACGGTCTGAAGAAAACGTTTCCAACTGTTAATTTGGGGTTTTTCTAATTTAAAAGACAAGAGATCCTCCCAGCTCCTCTCCCATTTCAGTAAATGGCATGAAAACAGCTGAGATGTCACACACTTGATCAAGGTTAGTTATGTTGTGTCCACAGAAATTTGGAGATCATGGTTCCTTCCACATTAAGCCTCCGAGCCTGCAAGATACTTTCCACATTTTGCTGAGAGGTTGATTGCAGCTTCTCCCCCTTCTTCCCCTGCTCACTAGGATGCAACCACTGACAAACAGCATGGTGGCTAGGTTTGAAGTGGGATGCAATACTATCCATAAATACCAGGTTCTTAGTGGAAGCTGAGTACATCGTAAGCCAAATGCAAGCTGGTCTTTCCACAGCTCTTCCTGACAGCCTGAGTGCCAGGAGACCCCTGCCAGCTGTGTCCATGCCACATCTGGTACTGCCCATGTCCCCGTACTCAGCACCTCACTGGAGTACTCAAAAGAAGCAAAATCTGACTCAGGTGAAAGCTCCCATGCCGTGTAACTCCCCATTATCTGTTATTCTCAATGTCGTGTTGCATCACTATACTTTAAAGTGGAAACTCCCCTTTGTTGAGAGCGCTGTAAGTTTTGCTACAGGCTACTTCACTCAGCCCTTCAGGACACAGTATTTGTTGGCCTTCACTGGACAGGACAGCAAGCAAATAAGCCTTCTCATAAAATTGTTTCTACACATTTGCCATGGTACTTATATTTATCTAGTAGTGTTCAAAACGTACAACTGTGGTTGAGATGTAGTGTGCTATAGGTGTTGCGTCTGAGCCTATGGAAATGCAAGCT